TTGGGGGGGGGGGGGGAAATTAGACGTGGACATGATGTAGGGAGATTCATTCTATAGATAAAACTCTTTGCCACACTTTTATGAAAATTTACTAGACAAATATTAAAATATTGTATTATGCTTGGCATCAGTCTTTGACATTAATTCAGGAGGAAGATGTACTGTTATATTATCCCTGTAATCGCCCTGCATTTCCTGCCTGTGCCTGTGCATGAGAGAACGGCATTGCTCAGACTAACATGCGCCCCCTGGTGTTTGCATGCAGTCACTGCATCCAGCAGATCCTGGAGGCGGTGCTTCATTGCCATCAAATGGGTGTGGTGCACCGAGATCTCAAGGTGAGTGGCAGGTGATTTGTTCGTCTGTGTGTGTTGTGCATGCTTTTATGTACAAATATGCCATGTGTGATGTGCGATGTGCAATTATGATGGGATTCGGATGGTGAGATGATTAATGGAATGGCTTAAAGGGATAGTCCAACCAAAAATGAAAATTCTGTCATCTACACACCCTCATGTCATTCAAAACCTGTATGGATTTCTTTCTTCTGCTGAACACAAGAAGAGATGTTTTGAAGAATGTTGGTAACCCACTCAGTTTCTGGTATCCATTGACTTCTATAGTAGTTTTTTTTTTCCATATAATGGAAGGCAATGGGGACCAACATCTGTTTGGTTATCTGCATTCTTCAAAACATCTTTTCTTAAAAAACTCATACAGGATGAACAACCTGAGGGTGAGTAAATTATGTCAGAATTTTTATTTTTGTGTGAACTGACCCTTTAATACTCGCGATCCGATTTGGCATGACGTTTTGCGTGCATGGATGTCTATGTCTGGCATAAAACTCTTAAATTGTGCAGTTATTTCAGATTTATTTTTATTGTTGATTTTATGTCAAGTGATATATTATGTTATTTGTTTGAAGTCTTCTCACACAGGTTGATTCTGAACTAGAATGGAATAACTCACCAATAAATTGTTACAATATAATGAGGAACATCATATAGGGTCAGTTTTGATTTCATGTTGCTGCTTTTTCTAATCCTGCTTCAGTTCAGAAGTCGCTCTTTATATTTTAAAGAATCAGGGTATGCAAATCTCAGTCTGGATGCGTTTCCAGCGTCGTTTCCCCCGGATGCGGCTCAAGGTCATTGAGCATTTCACACCATCCTACGGATTCTCAATCAGAACACTTTTCAAATCATGAGCCCGAAACGTCGAGATGCCATCTGAGCTCCACGAATAGCTCCAGCAGATGGCAACGGCGGCTGAGCGTCAGAACACAGACACCGTTCGTCTCTTTTCAGAGCGGCATCTGTAGCGCGAGTGAGGACGACAGGAAGAAAGAGATCAGAGATTGAGACTGAATAAGCTTCCCATGATTCTTTGCTCTTCTGGACCCAATTTCCCACCTGGATCAACTTTCACCAGAGCAGAGGGAACATAACCTACTTAATAACAGCACACACACACACTCTCACACTCACGCTGAACGCTGTGTGGAAGTGTGAATGTGCGTGTTAAGTGGGATGATGTATGATTAACCCATATGTCTAAACGAGTGACAGTAGGTTACGTGAGAAAATAAAATCAAAATTGGATTCCTTGATACCTTTGGTTAATGTTCTGTGTAAATATTTATGCAGGTTCAAAAGTTTGGGGTCTATAAGATTTTTTAAATGTTTTTGAAAGACTTTTATGTTCAGCAAGGCTGCATTTATTTGATAAAAAATTCAGTATTCACAATTTCACATAACTTGTGATCAAAACTGAATTTTCAGCATCATTACTCCAGTCTTCAGTGTGACATGATCCTTCAGAAATAATGCTGCGTTCAAGTCCTCCTGGGACGTTCGTACTTACGAGTTGACAAGTCGTAATTACGACGTCAAGTGCGTTCAAGTCAGTTTAGTCGGCACAAGATGGCGGTGTACCTTCTTTTAATAAATTACAAGAAAATACAACAGGGTCTGCATTTTTTTACTTGGATTTCAGCTGCGTAACAAGAACATGACCAATTTAAGTTTATAGGACAACTAAACTATCAATTTAAACAAAAATTTTGCGTCAACTACAGACGTTGCATCCATCGATTCCGCCATGTTTCTCATTGACACGCCCCCAACTCGGAAACTCGGGGCTTAAAGAGAATTTCGATTTTCCCGCTCGTAATAACGACTTTGTGGTGGCGTTCATGTGCGTTCAACTCGTAAATACGATCTATCCGACATGACTTGAACGCACCATAATACTAATATGCTGATTTGCTGCTGCATATTTTTGTGGAAACCATGATATAGTTTTTCAGGATTCTTTGATGAATATAAAGTTCAAAAGAGCAGCATTTATTTGAAAACTTTTATAACATAAAGATCTTTTCTGTCACTTCTGGTCAATTTAATGCATGCTTGCTGAATAAATAAATAAATAAAAATCTCAATGACCCCAGATTTTTCAATGTTTTTGTATGTGCATATTTGTTTTTTGCTTTTTTTTTATCAACATGAAATCAAAATCAACCCTAGTGTCCGTTGTTAATGTTATCAGTGTTCTGTGTAAATATCTGTGGCTGTAAATTGTGTTGTGTGAATGCTGTTTCATGTTGACTTGAAAGACAAAAACGAAGCTAATTTCCCAGAAATCTTGATCAAACATCAGTGGGATCACTGAGAGCGCGTCCTCAATCAAATCCACAGTGTTAAGCTAAAGATAATCCAGTCCGCTCTCAGAGGAAGGTGCTGTAAGGAACACTGGGATAGAATGACAGGAAAGAACAACTTTAAAGATGCTTTCCAGGATGAATAACACTACTCTGCATAACACTACTACATCCTGTATTAATTAACTTTAAGTCAATAGCAAGCTAATATAACGTTACCTAGAGCTAATTTATCAAATGTTTGCACACTCAGGTGTGTAAAATCAGTGGTTCTCAACCTTTTTGGCTCCAAGGCTTCCCATTGTCCAAAAAGTATTCAAAGGCCCCTTTTATAGGTGAAGATATTTCTGGTTCTTCTGCTGTAATTACAAAGCTACTTGTTTTGAACTTGTTTTTTACTTTTTTTATTTGCACAATCTAGGAGAGTTATTTTTTATTTTTTTAATTGTGAAATAAGTAATTAAAATCTTCCACTTAAAATGACTTTTCCAGTTGTTTGTGATTACAGGATATGTTTAATTTTAATATAATTTTTACTCATACGATTTCTCAGCAGTTTTTACATGAAAAATTATTTTAGGTCTTGACATAACTATATTTAAATATTTATATTCCAAATTTCCATGATTTCTTAAAGGGATAGTTCACCCAAAAATGAAAATTCTGTCATTAATTACTCACCCTCATGTCGCTCCAAACCCGTAAGACCTTCGTTCATCTTCGGAACACAAATTAAGATATTTTTGATTAAATGTGAGAGCTCTCAGACCCTGCATAGACAGCAACGCAACTGTAATGTTCCCAGGTCCAGAAACGTAGTTAGGACATCAGTAAAACAGTCCATGTGACATCAGTGGCTCAACTTCAGTTTTGCGAAGCTACGAGAATACTTTTTGAGAAGAAAACAAAAATAACATAATTTATTCAACAATTCTTCTCCCCCGAGTTACGTCTTCCGCCATTTTGGAGAGT